CCTGGCTCTTTCCCCTTCCCCGAGGGAAGAACTGTAGGAAGTTAGCAGGGAGTCAGGTGCTGACAAAGGGCTACCACCTGGACATGGGGGAGCAACATTCTGTAGGTAGCTCGGAGTTGTGTTTCTGCAGGCACCTCCCGAGTCACCCCAGCTCAGGTATGGGGCAGAAGAAGTTGGGAGTTAGCAAGTTAGGAAGAAGACGGGGCAATGCTTCAAGTCCAGGAGCGGGGCCGCCTGTCTTCCCTGGCTGTCCTCGGGTTGAGGCTGAGTGAGACAGGATGAAATCTGAGCAGAGTCTCCGGGCTGGGGGACTTGGCAAAGATCCAGTATGGTGGGTGGGAGGGAGGTTGTGCCGGGAGGGAGATTCCAGGGCTTCTGTTCCTGGCAGGGAAGAGCCCTGGGTTGTGGGTGGCCCAAGCCTGACTCTGATCACGGTCTCTCCCGAAAGCCACCTGGACTCTGTGACCTGTTACGGAAAACAGCTCCTTCTGCCTGGTAATCCCAGCACTTTGGGAGGCCGAGGCGGGTGGATTACTTGAGGTCAGGAAGGAGTTCGAGACCAGCCTGACCAACATGGTAAAGCCCCTACTCTACTAAAAATACAAAAATATTAGCCAGGTGTGGTGGTGTGCGCCTGTAATCCCAGATATCTAGGAGGCTAAGGCAGGACAATTGTTTGAATCAGGAAGGCAGAGGCTGCAGTGAGCTGAGATAGGGCCACTGCCCTCCAGTCTGGGCGACAGAGCGAGATTTCGTCTCAAAAAAAAAAAGAAGATAAAAACTGCTTCTGCATACACAGTGGAAAAAAATCCCCAGGGGTCATGCCAGGGTGAGGGGAAACAGGGTTTCCTATGCGAGTTACCAGGAATCTTGGAGCTGGCCCATGCAGGAGTGTGGGAGGTGACAGAGAGGTCCTTAAAACCAGGCAGGCCCCTCCCTGGCGTCTTCTGCGGGCCTCTGAGGACGGAGAAAAGGTCTCACTGGTGAGGAATCGCATCTTTGGGGCTGCTTTGCCTGAGGGAGGTGTGGGGAGCAGGGCCGAGGGAGGGGCTAGGAAAGGAGACACCTGGCCCCCTTGGTCAGGGGCGCAGGGCCAGGAGAGGGGGGACCTTCCATCACCTCCCTCACAGACAGCAGGAGGGCTGAGCGGCACCTTCTGTGCAGTGGGGCTCGGCACTACCCTTTCCTTCCAGCCAGGAGGCATGAACTGGGAAGTCCTGGAGCTGCCGCATGTGGACTTGGGGGACTCATCCTTCGGCGACCTGGCCACGTCCCGGCCTCCACATCTTCCCTTGGTCCTTCGTCTCCATTCTCTCCCTGTCATTACTGCAACTGCTGCCCTCCTCCGAAATTCTCTTGTGGCTATGCGCTTCCTCTCTGTGGTCGTTTGATCAAAATAGCTGAGCCCACATCCTCCTCCTGGGGCCCACTTTGGGCTCCACTGAGTGGCCGCTCTTCAGGGCAGCCCTCCATGCCTCTGCCACCTCCACCATGAAACTGCTTTCTTACTCTTTCCAGGGTGTTTTCAAATGCACCTGGGAGATTGGTTTTCTTCAGGTATAGGGAGGCCAACAGATCAGGAAATGATTGCCTTTTAAAAGATAGCTTGCTATTTACAGACCCCAGGAGAAGAGGGCGTACTTTCCCACCCAGGGCCACGCTGGAAGTGCCAGGTCATCAGGAGGGGCCACGGGAAGCATCGCCCAGGGCCTTTGCTGTGACCTCAGAGGGAACGGGTGGCAGGGCAGGGGATACGATTTAGGACCAGCCAGTTTGAATCATGTCAGCGGGACTCCAGGCTTCCCTCGTTGTCCAGTGTCTGGGCCTGGGGTGGTGATTTGGGGCAGGAGAAGCCTTGGCTTGGAGGGTGAGAGTGAGGGAAAGGTGGGCGGGGTGTGCCGGGGGACTGGCAGTGTCAGCAGTAGGACTTATCCATACCGATCTGCAGCATCCTCAGTTCCCGCCTCCTCAGAAGAAAGAGTTCCACTGCGGGGCATACGGCAGAAGGAGAATGAGACTGAGGCAAGTTTCACAGCAGAAGTAAAAGCTTACTAAAAGTTTTAGAGCAGGAATGAAAGGAAGGAAAGCATACTTCGAAGAGGGCCGAGCAAGCAGGCGACGTGAGAGTCAAGCAGGCGACTTGAGAGTCAGGCGTGCTGTTTGACCTTTGACTTGGGTTCTGTGCGTTTTTTTTTTTGAGACGGAGTTTCGTTCTTCTTGCCCAGGCTGGAGTGCAATGTCGCAAACTTGGCTCACTGCAACCTCTGCCTCCCGGGTTCAAGCGATTCTCCTGCCTCAGCCTCCCAAGTAGCTGGGATTACAGGCATGTGCCACCACGCCCGGCTAATTTTGTATTTTTAGTGCAGCCTGGGTCTCTCCATGTTGGTCAGGCTGGTCTCTCACTGGTCAGACTGGTCTCAAACTCCTGACCTCAGGTGATCCACCCGCCTCGGGCTCCTAAAGTGCTGGGATTACAGGCGTGAGCCACCATGCCCGGCCTGACTTGGGGTTTTATATACTGGCATATTTCCAGGGTGTTGTGTTTCTTATCCCGATTCTTCCCTTGGGCGGGCGGTGCGCATGCACAGTGGCCTGCCGGCACTCAGGAGGGAGCATGCGCAGTGTGTTTACAGAGTTGGACGCATGCGTCCTTGAGGCGGTCTTCCCTTACCCGCCGAATGTCCCTGGCCGGTCACACACCAGTTAAACTCCGCCATTTTGCCTCTTCGTGCGCATGTGTGAGCCCACTTGCCCAACTCCTGAGATCCTATCCGGAAGCTGCTCTTCACCAGCTTCAGGTGTTCCTGTTTATTGGAAGACTGCCTTTCCCTGGTGCTGGCTGCGACCAGTTATTTAGAGAGACAGTTACCAACTACCTGCCCATCACCTGTTGGTCGCCTGCTCACTACTGTCACAGTTCGTCTGCATATGAAAGACATGCTCACAGAGGAGCCATTTGAGGTCTCTAGGAATTAATCAGCCCTGGAAGGAGCAGGCTGTCTCTGGCCAACAAGGCCTCCAAGATGTCAAAGTGTCATAAACTATAGAAAATAAAAAGTATGTTTAGTGCCCAGGGATGCTGAGAGGCAGTGGAGTAGAGTCAGTCAAGGAAATAGATTCACAGTCCTGGGCTAAACCCCTGGGCAACTCAGGGCACCTGCCTGAGCCACAGTTTCCTTATCTGTAAAATCGACAACTGTTAGTCATTCTTTCAACAAGTAACCGTTTAAAAGGACAGACGCTGGGCCTGCCAAGGTCATTGGTGGGTTTAGAGAGATTGTGGATAATGCCTGGCACACGAGAGGTGCCCAGTGAGTGGCAGTTGGTGTCCTTGGGCCACAGCTCCAGGGAGCAGCAGAGAAAGATTGGCGTGGAAGGGTGGGGTCCAGGGCCATTTCCTTGGCTGTTTGCAGCCCTCAGAGCAGAGGCTGTGGGTGAACAGAACCCTCAGGAATGTTCTTGGAACTTGGTGTTGCTGCTGGACAAGGGCTGGCATGGAAGCCAGCTCAGTAGCCGGGAGCCCCAAGGAGTCTGAGGTGTATTTGGAGGCCAGGCCTTGGGAGGTGCCAGGGTTTCCGGCAGAGCACTGGCACAAGTGACCATTCAACTCAGGGACTCGAGACAACAGGGCACTGAAGGGGAAAGCCTGGGCTTGTCCAGCTGTGGATAAACAAGGACTTTGAATCCTGGGAGGAAGGGAATCAAGCAGCTGCCGGCAAGGAACCTCTGAGAAGCCAAATTAGAATCAGGTGCTGGCCTGAGACACATGGAATTTCCTGGACTCTAGGCTACCAATGGCTGTTTTTACCAAAGACAGATTCTAAGGAGTGAAGCCAAGAGCTTCTGCCTGAGAGGTAGAGCATGAGAAGGAACAAACAAGCCCCCTCAAAGAATTCATGCTGGGAAGGGAGGCTGTGTGGTGCAGTGAGGGGCGCAGAAGGACAGAGCTTGAATCCGGCCTCCACCGGATTCTCAGTGGCTGTGTGACCTCTGGCAAGGCCCTGAGTTCTCTGAGCCTCACCTTTCCCAGTGGCAAAATGGGGACCGTGATACCTACCTTACCCTGCAGCACTCCCACAAGCCCCCAGGGTTAACTTATTCTTTAGGTAGACCAGAATCTGGGGCTCAGGAGAGTGTCTTAATTTTATAAATTCCTTTAAAATCAAGAGGAAAGAAAAGAATATATAATAATAAATCCAGCTTGGATTATATTTTTCTTTATGCCAACATAGTTGTCAAAAATAATCATGTGGATACAAATATAAATATAAATATATAGCAGAAAGATGCCTATAAAGGCAAAAGTGCTTGGCGCCCATAAGAGCCATGACCAGGCCCTGAAAGTCACTGGCACATTGTGGGTGCTCAGGGTTCACTGCTGAGCACCTACTCTGGGCCAAGCACTATTCTCAGTGTTAGAATAGAGGGGTGCATCGCCCAGTTTCTGCCTGCAAAGAACCATCAGGGTAGACATCCTTGCAAACAGGCAACTAGGGCACTGTGAGCTAAAGAGTATGAGACGTAGAACCGTTGGCTTTCCTCTGCCCTCCTGCTGTGGACACCAAGTGCTCTCTGTCCAGGAATTTTTTCTTCCTGAAAGCTTCTTACATCTTTTATCAAAGACCATGTCTAGTTTACATCAAGTCCTGCTTCTCTATGTATGCCACCAAATCTCCATTCAAGAATCCTGGCCATTCTCTGGTTCCTTTTAGCCATTTTGCCGACGGGGTGAGTATGTCTGGGGGGGTTGTGGCTAAAAGCACACTGGTGGTCGGGACAGTCTCCCAGCAAATGCTTCCATTATTGCCCCTCTGCCTCCAGAGACCTCAGGGGACCTGTAGTTTTTTGCCTCATCTTTTCTGGCTAGACTCACCTTGTTTATTGCCCACCAGGACAGAGAGTGGAATAGGCGGGGCCTGGTGGGGAGCCAGGGTGGGAGCTGAATGGGCCGTGGGGGCATTGCCTGATAGACCTGTTGTGGGATGTATTTTCTCTTCCAGAACCCCAGAGATGAAGGGCCTCCTCCCACTGGCTTGGTTCCTGGCTTGTAGTAAGTGGTGGCCCCACGACCTCTGAATTAACTTCTACCCCATGAGAGTAGTAGGGTGGTGAAAAGGACACCTGCCGTTGAGGTGGTAGAGACTTGGGTTTGAATCTCGGCTCTGCACTGACTGCATAGACATCAGCAAGAGCCTTTATCCCTCCAAGCCTCTGCTTCCTCATCTGACATGGGCTAATGCAGTCCGTGGGTGGGGCTGTGGCAGGGTCCTAGGAGATATCATACCTCAGCTGTGTAAAGGTGGTGGACACGGAGGTTACGTGGCTAGCAAATGTAGGAGGCAGATGTTTTTTTCTCCTATGCAAATAAAATAAGTTTAAAAAAAAAAAATCCCCAAATCAATCTTCCAACCCACGATTCCTGGGTCATTCTCAGCTCTGGCTTGTCCAGCTGGGAGGTGACTGTACAGATGGCTTTAGTTCTACCCTGCAGTCCCGTGACCATGTATACAATCCCCTGACAGGCTGTCCTGCTCTTTAATGTCTTGCCAGGTGCCTGGAGACCCCAGGAGGAGGAAGGAAAGAGCAAGGGGGCCTTGGGCTCGCTGTGAGACCCTGGACAGGGCACCTTTTCCCTCCAAATCTCAGTTTCCCATTTGTAAGATGAGGGAAGTGCCTTCAGCAATTTCTAAGAGTCCCATCCTGCTTTTAGATTCTCTGCCTTATGTTCTAAAAAGTGTGAGGGGAAGGGAGTGGTGGGGAAGAGGAACGTATTGCCGAGAGAGACAGGAAGCTCCTGTCTGCCTGCTTCGTGAAAATACCTTATGAATTACAGCTTATATGTCACGGTCACTTACTATGTGCCTGTCGTCATGCTCAAAACTCACATACTTGATGTTATTTTAACCCTCATGTCAACTCCAAGATGTAGCTGCTAATTTTGGGTCCCCATTTTCCGGATGATGAAACTGAGGCTCTGACTCCATTCAATACCATACTTTGAATTAGTGGCAGAGTCAGGATTTGAACCCAAGTCTGCTCATGTTTCAATTCCAAACTCCTAACCAATTCTCCATACTGCTTGCGTGTCCCCTCCCACTGATTGAGAGAATTAAAAAGAGACACGCAGGTTCCTCCAAGCCCCAGATGGGAGAAAGGGTAGGAGGTGCTGGGCAGTGGGCCTAATGCAGGGCTGGGCTGCCTGGGTGTCACCTGGGAACATGGGCTGTCTTCCAGGTGTGCCTGCTGTGCAAGGGGGCTTGCTGGACCTAAAATCCATGATCGAAAAGGTGACAGGGAAGGACGCCCTGAAGAACTATGGCTTCTACGGCTGTTACTGTGGCTGGGGCGGCCAAGGGACCCCCAAGGATGGCACCGATTGGTGAGCTGATTGCTATAACTGCCCTTGGGCTCCAGGGTCTGCACCCACGTTTTCTTATTCAATTTCATATCAGTTCCGGAAGATGAGTATGAAAGTACCATTTTATAAATAAGAAAACTAAGTCTCAAAGAATTTAGCTGGCAATCACAGTGGTCTAAGGTGTCAGTTGGTCTACTGTGGCATAACAAGTGGTCCTAAATGTGGTGGCTTAAACGGCACTGATCATTTACTTTGCCTGTGAATTCTCCATTTGGGTAGGGTTTGTGGGAGTGGCTTGTCTCAACTTCAGCTTGGACAACTGGGGCTGGACAATCCACCTTCCAGATGACCCACTCCTACGGCTGGCAAGTTGTCAGCATCTCCTGGCCTAGGAGTGGGCCAGAGGCCGCAATTCCTGTCACTTAAGCCTCTCCCAGGATGTTTGGGATTCCTCCCACAATGGTGACTCTTGGGTTGCAACAGTGAGTATCCCGAAACTGCAAGACTAAAGGGTATGGTGTTTTATGGTCAGCCTCAGAAATTCCACTGTGTCACCCTGTACTCTTGGTCAAGACAGTGTCAAAGCCTTTAAGAGGGAGGGGACCTAGATTCCACCTCTTGACCGGGAAGTGCTAAAGTTCTAGAAGAATGTGTGAAAAGGGAGATTCTGTTCCTTGGAAAATATACCCAACTGGGTTAACAATTCTGATACTGCTAGACATATATAAAGGAAAGGGATGATGAAGCAAAGAAAGGACAGATGGTTGGGGCCAAGCTTCTCACTGTTGGAGTGGGATAAGCCAGGGCAGGAAGCCAGAATGATCCATGTGCAACAACAGCGCTAGAGTTAGAGACCTCAACACGGACTCCGGTTTAGCTTATTATAGAGGCGGATGGTTACGTGTAGAAGTATGCACAGATACCAGGATGCATAGATATAAGTATCATACTAAATAAGATGTGAGTAATAGGAGAAAATGGGTGTTTCCTCTGTAAGGTCTTCTCCGTTTTTCTGTAAACCAACAATACTTTTTATGTGCAATCTGCTACACCTAACATACAGTCATCCCCTGGACTGCTTCCAGGACCCCTGTGAATACCGAAATCTGCAGATGTTCTAGTCCCTGATATAAAATGGCATAGTATTTGCATATAGCCTGTGTGATCATATACTTTTTTTTATTCACATGGGAAAAAGAAATGTTCTTTTGCTGTCAGTGGAGAAGGCCTAAAAGAAATGACACCACAGTAGCAACAAGCACAGTTAATGCCTAGATCTGGTTTCCAATGTTATTCTTCAATAAAAGAACCCTTCCAAGACACACACACACACACACACACACACACACACACACACGCACACGTATAAAACCAGGGTTCCTTGAAGAAATGGCCAATTCTAGGACCAAGGCAGGAAATATGCAAGATGAGCCTGGAACTTCTTTTAGTGACAAAAAGTAAGGAAGTGCTCAAACAAAAACAAAACCAAAGCCCACCTTGATGGCCATGTGACAAGAGGTACATGTGCTGACTGAAAGAGCCTCCAGTAGCCAAGACTGGAACAATACAGCAACAGAAATAACCCCAAACTCCAGTCTCATGATGAGAAAAAAGAAAATCAGACAAATCCCAATAGTGGGGCATTTTATAAACTATCTACTAGTATGCCTCAAAATGGTCAAGAGCAAGGAAAGTGTGAGGAACTGCCACAGACAAGAGGAGTCCAAAGAGACAAGACAATGGGCCAGGCGCGGTGGCTCAAGCCAGTAATCCCAGCACTTTGGGAGGCGGAGATGGGCTGATCATCTGAGGTTGGGAGTTTAAGACCAGCCTGACCAACATGGAGAAACCCCATCTCTACTAAAAATTAGCCAGGCGTGGTGGCGCATGCCTGTAATTCCAGCTACTAAGAAGGCTGAGGCAGGAGAATCACTTGAACTCGGCAGGTGGAGGTTGCGGTGAGCCGAGATCGCTCCATTGCTCTCCAGCCTGGGCAACAAGAGCAAAACTCCATCTCAAAAAAAAAAAGAAAAAAAAAGAGAGACAAGACAATGAAATGTAACATGGGATCCTGGGACAGAAAAAGGACATTGGTAAAAATGAGGGAACGCTGAATCAATTATGACTTTTATACAATCAATAAGATAGTAACAATGTATTATTATTTAGGAATAATTATTGTTAATAATATATCAATATTGGTTCATTAATTCTAACAAGGGTATCATACTAATGTAAGATGTTAGTCATAGGAGAAATGAGGTGTTTCCTCTGTAAGATCTCAGTTTTTCTGTAAACCAAGGAAACCTTTTATATGCAATCGCTACACCTAACATACAGTGATCCCCTGGACTGGTTCCAGGACCCCTGTGGATACCAAAATCTGCAGATGCTCTAGTCCCTAATATAAAATGACGTAGTATTTGCATATAACCTATGTGATTGTATCCTCCCCCTGACCTTTTTTTTTTCTTTGAGACGGGGTCTCACTCTGGTTGCCCAGGCTGGAGTACAATGGTGTGATCTCAGTTCACTGCATCCTCGACCTCCTGGGCTTAGGTGATTCTCCCACCTCAGCCTCCTGAGTAGCTGGGACTACAGGCATGTGCCACCATGCCTGGCTAATTTATTTTTAGTAGAGACAGGATTTTGCCATGTTGCCCAGGCTGGTCTCAAACTCCTGGACTTTAGCAATCTGCCTGCCTTGGCCTCCCAAAATGCTGAGATTATAGGCATGAGCCGCCGCGCCGGCTGTGATGGTATACTTTAAATCATTTCTAGATTACTTATCATAGCTGATACAATGTAAATGCTATGGAAGTAGCTGTTGTAGTGTTTGGGAATTAATGACAAGAAAAAAGTCTGTACATGTTTAGTACAGACACAAGTAAATAGGCCTACGTACATTTTCCATCCATATTGGTTGATCTACAGGTGTGAGACCTATGATATGAGAAGTTTATTTTTGGTTCACATAATAGTTCAGTATGAATCACACGTTGGCTCCTCCCATCTTGTGGTTCTGCCATCCCCTGTGGCCTCAGAATCCTTTGCTGGGTCTTCTCCATCCAGCTGAAGGATGGTGGCAGAGGGACGGCGGAGGAAAGTGTGGGAGGTTTGTCTGGGCAGGTCTGGAGGTGGAGTACATCAATTCCATCCACCTCCCCTGGCAGGGATCGAGTCATGTGGCCATACCTACCTGCAAGGGAGGCTGGGAAATGTAGTCTAATCATGAGACCAGGAGGAAAACAAGGGTCCATGACCTGCTGGCTGGAAATGAGGAGCAGGAAATTACTCAGTTATGCTACCAGATCTTCTCTGCCACATTGCTTCCACCAAGGTGTCCTCTGCTAAAGTGACATGGTTGAATTTTTGCTCCTATTAGGGACGGGGTCAGGAGGGCACACCTCCTGCTCAGGATCTAAGTCTCTTGCATGGACAGGTGCTGTTGGGTGCATGACCACTGCTATGGGCGGCTGGAGGAGAAGGGCTGCAACATTTGGACACAGTCCTACAAATACAGATTCGCATGGGGCCTGGTCACCTGCGGTAAGGCTGGGGCTGGGCCCGTTTGGGCCATTGGAAGAACACCTGACTTTAAGTTCAGTTGCCCTAGAGGGCAGTCAGCCTGTATCTTGTTGGGGAAAGTGGGGTTGGGTGCAGAACTGGAACAAGAGGGGCAGGATTATTGCAGCTGTATCAGACCCCTGGTGTAGGGCTGAAACATCTTAGCATCCACCCTGTGCAAGGGCTTGACATGCTTCCTTTTTCTGGATTCTTGATCCCCAAATACCTGTGGAGTAGGTTTAGTCTCCTCCATTTTAGACATCAGGAAATGGAAGCTTGAAGGCCTGCCAGTGCACATAGCAGGATTCAAGCTCAGGGCCCAGGGGTGGTTTCTGCTCTGTGAGAATGAGAGTTCCTCCAGAGCAGTGGCTGCCTCCACCATCAGTCTGGGAGTCCCCCAGAGGAAGGAATGTGCTTTCTCTATCCGACTGGAAACTCCCTGAGGGCAGGAACTGTCTCCTGGACTGAAACATCACCTTGAGCAGCAGCTGTGCCCCTTCCATCAGATTATTCATTCCCCCTGTTTAGAAGCCGTGCCTCCTTCATCAGGCTGAGAGCTCCTCGGAGCAGGAGGTCCATGGGGTCTCTGCTGAGATGGGAGTGATCAGTCAGTCAAGCACGCTCTTCCCACTGTCATTCGCTCCTCGTGTTCTGTTGCAGAGCCGGGGCCCTTCTGTCGTGTGCAGCTCTGTGCCTGTGACCGGAAGCTCGTCTACTGCCTCAGGAGAAACCTACGGAGCTACAACCCGCGGTACCAATACTTTCCCAACATCCTCTGCTTCTAGGCATCCCCAGCGAGCTCCTTCCAGACCAAGCATTTGCTCTGTTCTTCTGCAACGCAGAGTTCCTACTCTGCTGGGTTCCTGAGAGAGGCTCCTACATTGCAGACCTCAATCCTTCCTGAAGCTTCGAGGATCCCCAGGGCCACGCCCTCCAGCGAGTCCCAGGAGAGTGACTCTAGTCGTAGGACTTGATAGGGTCCCAGGGCCTCCACTTCTGAGGGCACCCCCTCTGGTGCCAAGAGCTCTCCCCCAACTCAGGGTTGGCTGTGTCTCTCTTCTCTGAAGACAGCATCCTGGCTCCAGCTGGAGCACTTTCCTGAGATGCACTTACTTCTCAGCTTCTGTAAGCGGATTCTCACCACCACCCTCCAGAGAATTTCTACACAAGAAGAGCCAAATTGAATCTCTAAATCTGGTGCATGGATATTAAATAAAATTCCTTCTCATGGCTAATAAAAACGGCATTGGCATTTTCCTCTGCTGTGGGGGATCGCTGGTGCCTCTTTCTCTGCCACTAGGGCTATAAACCTGAAGTTATCCACCTTGTCTCAGAGACAGAAGGGAAGATTAGTAAATGCAGGGTTTTCTGGGTTGTTTCAGGCTTTCTTTTGGGCTCATTTCCTTAAACCTTGGGGTCCTCTCCAGCCCAGTGTTGGGTCTCATTCTTCCTTGATGGGGTGGAGGAAAGATAACTGGTAAGTATGACAGCTTCAGCTTTCAGGTCAGAGAGGGTGGCATTCAAGTCCCAGCGTTGGCTCCTCCAGCTGTGTGGTCTTGGGCTCGTTACTGAACCTCTCTGACGTTCAGTCTCTTTGAGAAAGAAACTGTCTTGTTCCTTGCAATGTAAAAGGAGGCTTCTAAAGCTCACCTTGATGCTGATATGGGGGATGCTGATGTTCTGGCATTTCACACAGCAGGAATTTTTTAAAAATAGCTATCAGTTATGGGTTTATTTCCTTTTTTTTTTTGCAAAGTAAGGACATTAAAAAAAAACATCTATCAATTCATAAAAGAACGGGTGTTTTGCTACCAAGCCTGCAGGAAGAAAGGATGTATCCAAAACAAAGGAGCATCCTTCCAAGAAAGGACCTATGGCTTCTTTATTCTGACATACCCCAAACTAACCACATGATAAACAGGATCTATGTTTAAAAAGCTCTAGTGTTGAATGTTTTCAAAATAAAATTGATTTTATGAGATTACCCTGAATGCACCAGTGTTTTCAAAAAGTTTCATTTAGACTCCGTGTCTATATTTGATAATGCCACACAGGGAGGGGCTTCAATGCCGAATTTGCTCATGAAATATTTAAAATCAAAGCCATTTCCCTGATCCAATTTTGAATGGGTATGTGGGGGAAACTGAAGGCTTCACTCTAATGCCGTTTTCCTTCAATCGTGATATTGTGGTGATAGAATAGAGAACCCAGTCCACACTTCTCCCTTTGCCCATGAGGGTCAGGTGGCAGGCAGGGCAGTGCTTTGCTGGTAAGTTCTGCAGGAGGGGGCTGTGGGCAGGCCCTTCTCATTGGCACATTCCAGCTCAGAGTCCCAGCATCCACCCAGGAGAGGGATGCTATGAGGTTATGAAGGCAACACTACCGGCTGGCGTGTGTTTGAGCTGTAAGGAACCATGGAGAACCTTCATTTTTCTACCAGGAAATTGAGGCCCAGAAAGGTTAGGAGACTGTCCCAAAGTCACACGACACATCAGAAGCAGAAGAAGGACTTGACCTCAGATCCTAGCTTTAAACCCTGGGCTCTGGCCACTATTCTACATTCCCTTCAATCCCAGTCCACAAAAGGAGCAGTTTGGGGACTCACCCATATTTGGGATTTGTTGGGGGAGCCCCTGGATTCCAGCTGAGGGCCAGCTTCATGTCTTCTGTGCTCTACTGCATCTTTGGATTCTGGAGGCTGTCCCTGGGGTGTCAGTCTGTCTGGGGCTCTGGGCTTCATCCTCAGTGGAGGAGATCCCATTGCTGTCTTCCACCTTGGTGGCTGTGAACAGCTCTGGGGGAATGAGGAGAGCTAAGGGAGCCCCAAAACTCGTGGAGAGGTTTCTCCTTGACTGTTGCATTTCCAGATCCCTTGGTTGGCAGAAGAACCATCAGGGAGGTCATCCTATTTTAAGAGAGCTAGTGAAACATACAGACCAGATTGCAAATGCCTCCGTAGCTAGATCTTCATACATACTTAATGGATAGATTGCCCTACACATACAGAGCCTTTCCTGTCACCTGAATTGGGTTTCAGGTACAAATGCAAGCCTCCAAATGTAGGTAAAATGATCTCTATAAGCGTATGCACAGAGGGGCTGGACAGTGGGGAGCTCCCTTGTAGTTGTTACCAAACTGAAAAGCCTGCTGGTCAGGGTGGAGGGGCGGAGGACAGGGCTAAGGTGGGCTGATGAAGTAGGAGGTATGTGGAGTTTTTCTTTCTTTTCTTTCTTTCTCTCTCTCTCTCTCTCTCTCTCTCTCTCTCTCTCTCTCTCTCTTTCCTTTCTTTCTTTCTTTTTTCTGATATGGAATTTTGCTCTTGCCACCCAGGCAGGCTGAGTGCAATGGCGCAGTCTCGGCTTACTGCAACCTCTGCCTCTCGGTTTCAAGTGATTCTTCTGCCTCAGCCTTCTGAGTAGCTGGGATTACAGACGTGTGCCACCACACTTGGCTAATTTTGTATTTTTTTAGTAGAGATGGGGTTTCTTCATGTTGGTCAGGCTGGTCTCGAACTCCCGACCTCAGTTGATCCACCCTCCTTGGCTTCCCAAAGTGCTGGGATTACAGGCGTGAGTCACGTGCCTGGTCTCCATATGGACATTATTAACTGCCCAGGGAGGCTGCTGTTTTCATCCCTATGTGAGGGGTGGGACCTGAAGCCCTGGGAAGTAAAGTGTTTTGCTTGAGGCCACACAAGTAATAAGGAAGAGAGGTGGGAAGGAAGCAGGCTGTCTGATCCCAAAGCCATGTTCTGTGGTCTCTTGTTTTCAGAGACAGAGTCTCAGTCACTTAAGCTGGAGTGCAGTGACATGATCATAACTCACTATAGCCTCAGACCCCTGGGCTGAAGGGATCCTCCCACCTCAGCCTCCAGAGCTGCTAAGACGGCAGGCGTGCACCACCACACCTTGCTAATTTAATTTTTTATCGAGTTGATGCTCTTTCTATGTTGCCTGGGCTGGACTTGAACTCCTGGTCTCAAGTGATCCTCCCACCTCTGCCCAAAACTGTGTTCTTAGTAGAACCGATGGCATCACACAGGGGAAGCTTGGCGCTGGGGCCAGGTCTTGCAACATGCACCGTGGAAAACATTTTGTTTTGTTCAGGGTGGATGTGGCAAGTTTGGGTTGTGTAACTTTAGCTAAGCTATGTTTCCCAGAATTCCTTTCCCTGTAGAGCTCTGCGTTAGGTTCTGGTTAGCTGCTGTAGTTTAGAGCCCAAAGAGATGTTTTGTTGAGATTTGAAAGGCAGATGAGAAGTGCAGTCATATTCCCTTTACACTTGGGAGCAGGACATGGCGTGTATGTGGCTCAGGCTGGGGATCATGGACCTGCTGGCTTGCCTTGCTGAGTCAAGCCTGCTGGATTTCCTTGTTCAACTTCTCTGACTCTTGGGCCAGATGTGTGTTTAGCTCTGTAAGTAAGGGAGCCAGCTTCCCCAGCAGGACGCACAGGCAGTGAAGCTAGGGTGCAAGGTATTGAGACCCACCTGGTTCTTGCTCGTTCTTTTGGGTTCCATGCATCCTCCCAGGTTCCAATTTGTCATTGCTCTCCCCCGCCCCTTCACAGTCATCTTCCGTTTCAGACTGTCTGCCCTGCTAACTTCAGGCTGTAGCATCAGACACAGGAAAAGCAGCCTCCTATGAAGGACTAAGCCAGCAATCCCATCTGTACCACATCAAATTTCTACCAAAAAAGTATTGTTAGGCCGGACGCAGTGGCTCATGCCTGTAATCTCAGCACTTAGGGAGGCCGAGGCAGGCTGTTGGATCACAAGTTCAGGAGTTCGAGACCAGCCTGGCCAATATGGCGAAACCCCGTCTCTACTAAAAATACAAAAAAATAGTCAGGTGTGGTGGCATGTGCCTGTAGATCCAGCTACTCGGGAGGCTGAGGCAGAAGAATTGTTTTAACCTGGGAAGTGGAAGTTGCAGTGAACCGAGATCATGCCACTGCACTCTAGCCTGGGCAACAGAGCGACACTCATCTCAAAAAAAAAAAAAAAAAAAAAAGGATTGTTATATAAGAGTACTGCTGCCTTTCTGCCTGAACTCCCTGACCTCTATAGAATTTGGTACTAGACACAGTTTCTGAGGAACAGAGCCTGAAGGATGGGCTGTTTGAATTGCCTCTGGCTCATCTGGAATTGGTTTTCTTATTTGACTAGATTTAAGGGCACACATGGCTGGTTTTTATTGGCAAGGGGGACATTGATTGACCACAGCCTGAAGAGATAAAACAGCTACTTAAATGATCACCTGTGTACACATCTGTTCAAGAGTGACCAGTAGTTGATGGCACAGAGCATTTTAATGGAAACAAAATTATTATGGGTTGGAGAACTTGGAAAGAGATAGTGATGGGCTCAGGGCTTTAAAATCTCACTCAAGGTTCACAGACAGGGCCAAGCAGGATGGATCACATTTATAATCCAGGTGTTTTGGGAGGCCGTGGTGGGAGAATTGATTGAGCCCAGGAGTTTGAGACTAGCCTGGGCAACATAGTGAGACCCTGCCTCTACAAAATAAAAATTTAGAAAGATCTGCATACAGGACATGAATGCTTCTTTGCCTGCTTGTATGGAACACAGTAGAGTGATGCAAACTGAATCAAGCCACACCTCCAATCGCAGCTGCTGTGGATATTGTTGCTAGAGCAAATCAGCACATCCCTGGCACCTGTTTTATAATTATTCCACGGCAGAATGACTTTTTCCTTATACCTATTAGTAAAACTGTGAGAAGCATTTGCTCTCAGCTTGCAGGGACAGCAATACACTTACAGTTTCCAACTGCAGGCTCCATCAACTCTCCAGCTCTATGCCGTACTCTAGTCCAGAGGGACCTGGATTATCTTTGTACCCCACAGCACATCAGCACGGGTGATGACATGGAAGGCATGTATGCACCTTAGGGGCCTGCCACTCCAGAGGCATTTTTCAGGGGTCCTTTAGTCTGGGGCATGTTGAGATATCCCTTACAGAAGGTAGGACAAGTAACAGCATCTGGCCCTCCTGTCTATTGAGAAGGAAGCACAGTGCCTTGTGGGCACTTGAGATTTTAGCGATGTAGCTCACGTTTCAGGTCAAGGTACCACGGAAGTACCGTTTACCAATGGTATCAATGAAGTACTGCTTAAACCCACTTAGCAATCGACCTGAACAGTTGCCTGTTTTGAGTGGGGTCCAGAACAAAAGGTTATGCAACCGGCCCAGGCTGCCACACCAGTGGCTCTGCCACTTGGGTGGTATGACCCAGCAGACCCAACGGTGCTTGACGTGTATATGCACATAGAGACGCTTCATGGAAGCTCAGAGGGGCCTCTGTGGGTAAAGTATGGGGCGGACCTTAAGGGTTTTGGAGTAAAGCCATGCTGCAGAGGACTATTCTCCTTTTGAGAAACAGCATCTGGCTTGCTAACAGGTCTTGGTAGACACTGAATGCTTGACCTTGGGTTACCAAGTTATGAGACCCGGGTTGCCGATCATGAACTTGTGGGAAGAAAGTTGCCCAGGTGCCAAGGCAAGAGTCTGAAGGCACAATCTGTCCCGATACAATAAATAACTGATTACTTAGTTTTAGCAATGATACCAAGTATATTTGGAAACAATCACATAATCAATTATGTAATCAGTCTTAGTAAATCATTATTCTTTCTTATTAATCTTTGCTTTAGTATTACAGCATAAAAAGATTTTAGTCTTATAGGATAGAAACAACCAGGTGAAATATAATTAGGAACTGAAGGGACATTGTGAGAAGTGATCAGGAGATGAGAGTGAGAGCCTTGTGGTAGCACCAGCACCTGGGAAGGCACCCGTTACTCAGCAGCCAGGCCTTGTGGTAGTGCCAGTCCCTGGGAAGGCGCCCGGTTACTTAGCAGCCGGGCCTTGCAGTAGCACCAGTGCCTGGGAAGGCTCCCGCTACTTAGCAGGCCGTGAAGGGGAGTTTCCCTTTCACTAGGGGAGTTCAGAGATCACTCT